CCTGTGGCTTCCTTCGTACTGGATCACTCCTATTACTGACATTCATATCTGGGATGAGACTTCTAATGGGACTGAATATGTCTGCATTAGGGTTTAGCTGTGGGGTCTGGAAGGGGCTTGCCATTGTCTGGGACTGATTAAGTCGACGGTTAATGTATTCTCCTTGTGTAAAAGACAATAAATCATCCTTTAATGTATCTAATTCACTTTTAAATTTACTAATGTTTTCCATTTGTACTTCTTGCCATTGTTGTAGTCTCTCTTCTTGTTTATTTTCTTTCTCCTCCAATAGCTGTTGTAATCTCTCTTCTTGTTTATTTTCTTTCTCCTCCAATAGCTGTTGTAATCTCTCTTCTTGTTTATTTTGCTGTTCGAGCTGCCACTGTTGCAAGTTTTCTTGCCACTGCTGTAATCTCTCTTCTTGTTTATTTTGCTGTTCGAGCTGCCACTGTTGCAGGTTTTCTTGCAACTGCTGTAATCTCTCTTCTTGTTTCCTTTCTCATTTTTCTTGTTTCTTTTCTTGTTTATTCTCTCGTTCTTCTTGTTTTTTTTGCTGCTTTGTATTGCTGCCATCAAATCTGCTAACCTGTAGTTTGATTTGCTGCTTCTCATTTCTTTTTTTTTTGTCCCACTCTCTGACACCAATTTGTTACGCCTCTGTTCATTAGTTAATTTTCCGTATAATTTCTTCCCGAAGAAACTTTACTGATACAAGTCCTTTCTTAAATAAAACTGGTTTATTCTTTCTGAATACAACTTTGTGATACCCTTAATTTCAACATTCGTGATATAACAAACGTTATAACTCACAATGAACGTCTCACGTGCCCAACAATATTCTTTCTGTCCGCAATTCAATAACTCAATACCTTCCCTTGCCTTAGTTCTTAATGGTTTATATATACAAGACTACACTATATCTAGAAGGATCCCGAGATTTAAGGAAGGGACGTGAATGTTCGAGAAGGACGTGGCGTGATACTAGTCACGTGACCTCCATTGACGCAACAATATTAATAAAATCAATAATACTGGAATCAAGAACAAGAACCAGAAATAAAAAAAATTAATAAAAAAAAACAGCAAATACAATATTCAAACAATACTTTTGAATATCTATAACAATAACGAGTTACAAAAAGCAATAACTATCTCATGACTATTTCTCTCCTAGTGAAGCTTCTGGCAGGATATTCACTCACTGAGCAGATCACAAAAGTACAACCTCATGTGATCATAGATTTACATACTCTTCTGCTACATTGATAGTATCTGTACGTCAAGGGATGCTGTTGTCAGTTACATCATACACACAAATATTTACTCAAAATACAAATGATTATCTAGAAGGTGAGTTAGCATTTTAATGCAACTAAAAATTCATACATAAACTAAACAGTAGAAGTAAATAATAAATGAACAATAAACACAACCACAAGCATAAAAAAGTAGATTTTGCTATCTCACAATATTATTCTATTATCATTTTGCTAGTGTTTCATATGTATGCTACATTAAATCTGATGTAAATTTCAAAAATTCTGTTTGATAATCCTTGTGATATCAAACATTCTGTTCCATTAAAGTTTAAAATCACCAGAGGAGGGGCATCCCATGCTGAAACAAATACTAATCTCTTTCTGCAATTCAGCAATACTTGTTCTGACTGGTCAAAATGACATGCAACTTATTACTAAAGATGATGCTAATCTATGAACGAGATTTTCTTCTTTAAGCACATGTGATTATTTTCAAATGTTGATTTTCATTTTAGAAATGTTATAATTAGTCAACTATTTAATAACTTGCTCAATGGTTAGCAAATTAGGAGCAAAAAACCGAGTGAAGATAAACGTATGCATATACTTACTCATCAAAGCCTAACTTCTTTAATTCATCAATACATTTAATCCTGATAGCTGTTATCCTTTCATCAATAGTCTTCAAAGAATCTGTTATGAAATAAAGTTGTATAAATAACTTAATATTCCTTTCAATATCACTTTTTGATATAAAATGAATTTTAAACAGGTGCTTACATCTGAAATACTGAAAGCTTTATCTTTTTGAATTACTCTACTGCTGTTAACAACTATATTACTCAATGTTCTGAATGTATTAAATCAATGTAGTTCATGCATCAACTTAATCAAAATGTTAAACTTTCACACTTTCTAAGTGACTTATTGCTTATACATCAGGAAAACTGCTTTCTCTCCATAATTCAGATTTCTTAAATGCAGTCATGATGGAAAACCACATACCATTCAGTTATGGGAAGGGGGTGGGAGTATCTGTTTGAATTTCATATTCATCCTAGCAATGTAAAGTTCCATTCAGGCAAACTTATCAATTAAATACTGAAAGGCAGAATACCCACAATGAACATTAACCCTATCGCTACAGGTCATGGGTCAAAGGCCATGTCATTCTAAATTTTATTGAACTCCTATTTTATGAATGTATGTCAATAAGTTCGGTACCAAATTGTAGATTATAAGTGATAGTTTAGTATGATCCACTAGTTAATTTCTAAATTTAAAAGTAAATATTAAAAAATAAATCCTAAATATTGATTTTTGTGTGTCACCTAGTATGTTGAATGCAGCATTGGCTCAAATTAGATGTTTGTGATGTCCAAATACAAAGTCTATAGTTTCTTATGAATTAGGAACTCCAATTACCGATATTGACAAGCTAGAATCTAAAATAAGAACCTCTTATCTTTTCTATTTGCTGAGATATTGCTACATTTACTGAATCTAACACAGTGGCCACACTCACCTCTTTTCATTTTTGGAAACTGTTACATACACCGACTTCTGTCTGTGATGTGTGAATAACCAATTGAAAGCATAGAATGTCCCCCATGTGGTCCTCTGAGCCTTTGCAAAGTATTTATGCAAGAAACCTTTTCTTTTCATGGCAAATTTCAAGCAATAAGGTAAGACTTTTGTGAGCTCGTAATTTCATATTTTTTTAAACTAAAATACAGCTTAGTTACTAAACTTGCTAAATTATAGTATAATTGTATGGTATTGATACAGTAATTTATTATTTGTTATATTCTTTAGTTATATGTGAAAATTTTTGCTTTTTGGTCAGTATATGATACATAGAATCCACTTGTTTACCCGATATAATTAAATTTATCAATACTGGCTACTTTAATTATCCATGACATTTGTTTTTTATTAAGACAATTATTTTTAGGATGAACATTCATTGGCTCTTAGTGTATGGGTTTGGCTATTTTGCACATGTCACAACCTTTTATAATGTTACATTCATATAAAACCTAAAAAAAAGTATTTTGTTTCACATCCTCCAAGTGCAAAATTTGATAAGGCTTAGCAACTTATGGCAAGCAGCAAATGAGTATAAAGTTCATAGCTAGAAGAGATAATTCTTTTCTATAATTATTTATTTACTGTTCTATATTTTAAGAAAAATAAGTTTAAGAAGTTATTTCTAAATAGTAATAATGTATTATAACTGAAATGTGACTGTATTTTACAGAATATTAATCACTAAAACACAACCAAGACAGGTCACTTTGTAAAGGCCAGTTTCATATTATTGGATAAAGTAACATGAGAGCACATGTGCCTTGTCATTCCAACTTCCGTAGTGTTAACAAGGCATGGTTAAAAGGTCAATAAGATAAAAATAATAAATATATATAAATGTATAATTTTATGAGATTTCCCAACACAGGGTCGGTCAATTTGACTGAGTCACATGACCTTTTGTACTCGTTTAAAGTTGATATAAGTTGAATACTTATAACTCTCTATATATTGAGTATATCTTCATGAAATTTGGCAGTCTTTCAGTTAATATTACAAGTCTTTCACATACAAAAAGTCATATTTCTTAGTGAAGTTTTTAATAAAATAAAGAATTGTTCATGAATATATTGAGTAGTTATTTTGAACAGTCCGTGTGCAAAGTAATTGTCATGTTAAAATTAAAAATACTTTTTGTCATCTCAAAAATCTCAAATTTCCTTTGTGTAATCCTTTAAGCCTCCTAAATACATTTCAAACGTTTTTTTTACTAAATCCTTAGAGTTTATATGTTATTTTCTCTACCCTATCTCAAAATGGGACTAGTCAATTCAACCGACCTTGTAACCACAAAAAAAAAATCTAAATAAACCTAAATTAACCTTCTTTTCTTTTTAGAATGACTTCAAATTGTAACATGAAACTACATTCGTTTATCCTAAGTAGCTCTAAGTTTCGTTACATTATACATTTATTTATAATTAAATTTTATTGTTTTATTGCCCTTTGGACTATGTCTAACTACTATCCGTGCCATTATAAGTTGAAAATCACTTGGAGAACATGCAGCTCATGTTACTATATTGAATTACATTATCCATGAGCCGCGAGTTCATGCCTCGTGAACCATTTTAATTTTATTATTATCATTACTTATTTCACCGAATCTAGTCTTAAATAACTTAAAAAGATCCGTACTTTTAATTTTATTTACTTTTATAATAATAAATAAAGAATGAATATGAAAAACAAGAAATACAGTACTTATCCAATCTTCTTTTTTCTTGCCCTCGATTGTCAAAGAGAGTTAAGCCTGATTGTTTTTAATGATTATAGTAAAGCACTTAACAATTTTTATTTAATTAAATAATGTACCAAAGAATATAGACTAATAACATGCAAAAAGTAGACAAATTCACTTACTACTAAAAATTTTCTTGGATTTCTAACTATAATTCAAGAGTCATTACAAATTCATCCAAGTTAGTCGTTAACTTTCCTGCGGGAACAATGTTGCTACTCTGAGTGAAATTGATGGTTATCTGTTCAGAACACAACGTTATACAATACGCCGTTTGATAGATGAAAACCTTGACTTTCTATTGGTTATAGGCAATATATAATGAAACGTAAGAGAGAACTATCAATGACTTGTGAAAGAGAGGATGTGACAGGTGTGTGTGGCAAGAGGGGTCTGATTTTCTATTTGATAGCTCTGTAACCAAGCAAAATTGAAGGCTATAAAAATTATGGTCTGTTTGGGCAATATCGATTTTATAGAGTATTTTATGTATAATTTCATACATTTCTGAGGGTTGATGGATAAAATAGGGATGATGACATGCTAAAACAAAATGTGTCACGTGCATCATACTAGTGGAAATTCAGGATTTTTTTATATATTTCCTTGTATAATTAAAGAACTTAAATCTTGTATTCTACTAAAATATGGATTATTAGCTAAGATTTTATGCTATTCTAATTGGTATAACATAAACAAAAAAAAATAGTATAATAAAATTTTGAATGTAAGACACTAAAACCTTGCATCATGTGCAGTAAATGGCACTCTGGAGATAGAGTTAAGCTATTTAGACTAAACACTTGTGTTTGAAATATAAGTTGTAGTCATTCTAGAATGAAATGAGCATAATTTATATTTATAATGGCTGGAGACGGCTTGAATGGGTAATGAAGAAAAACTTTAATATAAGTTTAACATAATAGCAAATGTACAACGTTTCGACAAGGTTTTGTCATCATCAGGTTTCTGCAGTGGGATACACTGTCTACTGGTCTTAACCTTCATTTGCTAGTCTCACATGTTAAAGAAAGAATAAATAAATAAAACAAGTAAGAAAAATATAAAGAAGTAGTGAGGCTTGAGAACCTATATCTCACTCTCCCTACTTATTCTAGTTTATTCTTCTTTCTTCAACATATGAAACTAGCAAACAGAGGTTAAGACTGATAGATGGGGTATCCCCTCCGCAATGTGGGCCCTATTTCTGCAGTCACCTACAAAACCTAGAACATATCTTATATCTCACATTATAGCCTGTGCTATGGTGATATTTTTAATTTATGCAGTGTTTTTGTTTTTTGTTTTGTTAAGGCCTGTTTTGATAACTAAAATATTCATAGGTATCTTACAAGACAAGAAAGGTAATAACTTAAATCACACTAAAGATGTGTTCAGCAAATTTCAAGTAGAATCCAGAATCAGAAATATTGAAAAAACCTGGACTTGAGGGAGAATGGGTGTAAATGAACACCATTATATAAAGAATAGACCTAAGAACAATCAGAAAGAAGACATTATTCACAGCAACGTACCTCTCCACTCTCAATACCTTTTAATTCATACCAAATGGAAGTTAGTTAGAGCAATAATATGCTTACCTGTAGAGTCAACAATGAAAACATAAGTGGTGACATAAACAGTTAGGAGAATACTATGTTCTGTACCTTTAGTGTAAGATTCTCAGTGGAGCAGGCCAGCCAAAAATTATAAATGGCATATCCTGGGATTTTAGCTACCTTCATTTACACTTGAAGATTCCATTGAGTCATGAAACTTTCCAAGTTAGTAGGCACTTAGAAAGAACTGAAAATAGACCTAAGTTGTCTTGAAAATGGGGCTCAACAAAATGAGGACAATAAAACAATGAACTCCAAAAAAAAACAGAAAACAACAAAAGAAAGAAAATATAGATGTTTCGCATTCTGGTTGAAGTTACGAGACATCCAATCTCAGATATCTCTAATAACATCAAAGTCATGCATGCAGAAATAAAAACGTACCTGTCAAGGCACTAATCAGCCACCAGATGGCATCACATTTTTTATATATATTTAGATATATATTTGTAACTTTTTTCATGAAGCGTGAAAATGCAACAAGGGCAAACACACAGTTTTACATAGCATTCTAGAATCCTGACTGGAAAAATTTACAGTAGTACAAAATTTCTTGAGATAAGGAAAGACTACAAATTATTCAAGGACAGAGCATAAGTGTTATGAAGACCTTTTTTGATTTTCTCCAATCAAATGACTTCTCAACCACAGACACCTGTGTAACTGTTAAAAAAGGTGTTAGTTGGTATAGAAATACTTGGCTCAGAGATAAGTTTGATATGAATGAAGCCAAAGATGAATAA